CATACAGTGACAAGCATAAATGTGGAAGAGTCATACGTTGACAAAAAATGTTCAAAGCGGAGAGACAAAACATATTTCTGAAAACTTACTCAAATAAAAGTCCGCGCATAGAGGATGTGTGTGTATATGTGCGGGAGATGAATACATGTTCATTATTCTTGCAGTTTCACTGACACGCTAAAAACCGTGAAGAGAACTATACTTTCGTGGTTCAGGCATTCTTTGAAAATGATCCTTCGTATCTAGTACGAACTCTTCAACTACAGTTTGATTGAAGCGCTTGGATACTGACATATACCCTACTTTCCATATTTAGTGGTTGCTTCGCGAAGTAATTTGCAGTTAGTTACATTATAGAACATTCTACCGTATGAGAATATGGCTCACCTTGTATTTACCTAGCTGAATCTTTTTAAACAACATACAGTATTTCGTCAACCATCATCTAAGAAAACTTATTGATATAATTTCAATAACCATCCTACCCCACCATTATATAATAATAATAATAATAATATTTATTCACTCAATGTACAAAGATAACAAACAATATGAGTAAATAAATATAAAATCAAAACAGGCCCAATAGAAGGCATCGCCTGTACATGGACCAATAATTTAAGTTGAAACTGTAGAATGCAAATGACAAAAAAGGACAAAAATTAGCTACAGATTATGTATTTAGTTGATGTTCGTATTTATGAGTTTATGAATTTCAGTCCTAGATATAGAATGTAGCCACTTTTTTAAATTTCTTCTGAAACAATTTCCGAAACGTAAATCTTTTAAGTCTTTAGGTATAATTTCATAAAATTTAGGCGCTAAATAGAGATATGATCGCTGCATTATAGATTTATGCGGTTGAGGAACTACTGTGCCACGAATTTTGTACCTGGTATAATGATTATGTTTAATATTTTGGTCGGTGTTTACAAATTTATGGTAGTGAGTGATACTGTGTAAGAAATAAAGCTGTCTTATATCATACATTCGAACATCTGCGTATAATTTTTCAGTGGGATAAAGTTTCGGTTTTTTAAATATCATTTTTAGAATACCTTTTTGAAAAACATCTAAATTATAGATATGTGAGGAACATGCAGCTCCCCATGCTAATATACCATATGTGAGATGAGGCTCAATCAGTGCATGGTATAATGTTCGAAGATATTTTTCTGTCAATATATTCCCAAGGTATTTAATTTTGTAGGATACAAATCTAACTTTCTTTAAAATATAATTGACATGGATGTTCCATCGTAAGTGAGGATCCAAGACCACTCCAAGGTATTTTATGTTGGGCACTCTATTAATTTGCATTTTTTCATCATTAATATTGAAGGAGAAATTTGTGTAATTTGGCAGATGTCTAGCATAAGATCCAAATGGTAAAAAATGTGTTTTAGAGTAGTTAATGCTTAATTTTCTACTGTTAAACCACCGAATAATTTAGATAAAATCATTTTCAATTACATTTTTCAGATCAGACCAGTCAGTGCCTTCATATAATATTGCAGCATTATCTGCAAAACTAGTTATTTTGCCAACACAATTAATTTGGAAAATATCATTTAAATATATGTTGAATAACAGCGGACCTAAGACAGTTCCTTGTGGGACACCACACTTAATATACATTTCTTCACTAAATGATCCTGATATCTGCACAGATTGTGGGCGATTTGACAAATAACTTTCGATCAGTGAGTACGCGTTTCCTCTGAAACCAATTCTCTCCAATGCTTCTAATAATAATTTGTGATTAACTGTGTCGAAAGCTTTCTTTAAATCAACAAAAATGCAGATTGAAGGGATTCTGTTATCAATATTTTGATGTATTTGATTTACAATTTTAGTTATTGCGTCCGATGTAACCTTCCCTTCTGTAAATCCATATTGATTTTCACTTAAAATTTTGAATTTTGTGAGGTATCGAAAAGTATTTCAGTTGTTCACAGGTAAATATTTCGTCATTTCTGGCCGGTTGCCGAATATTGGCTGAAGATATGGTCGGACCGCAGTGATAACATGTTGTACAGGTTTTCCAATGGATCTATCTATGACAGACGGTATGATAAATTAAAGATAAACGCGACCAATGTTTCTAAATCGCCCAAATAGCACACAAGGACGCAATACTAACCCACAATATGGGACAGCACACATTTGGCATAACGTGTGTAATATGTAGATAATCTATTCGTCCTAATTCCGCATTCCATGCCCGAGCCGTCCTTTCAGACTTCGCAAAACGCCTGGGGGGCACGATAGCAGCGGCAGGCGCGGCGGCGTCAAAGCGAATTCTTGCCGCTCGACGCCGACACCGAAAATCGATAGGAAGCGGCGTCGCGACGCGACGTCGTTTAGAGCCCGAACAAACGTTAATTCTTGGCTAATTTAGAATGCAAGGCATACCTCAAAACAGTTCACTCACACCAATGGTCTGATTTCGTTTAAATTAATTTCGATGCCGCCTCGTGACGTTATACTCGATTCCCTCGGAAAATTTGGACACCTGATTATATCGATCTTTTATATTTGAATTATCATGACAATTATCCTAGTGAATCAAGTGTATCGTCACAACGCGCATTCGAAACCAATTTCAACGGTTCAAACTCATCTGGAGTCAGGCCCTGGTGACGGGCGTCTACGCATATACTCTGATTGTCTACGTTTCGATGTATACAATGAATACAATGTATAAAATGTATACAATGTATAAAATGAATGAAAAATATACAATGTATACAATGTATACAATGTATACAATGTGTACAATGTGTACAATGTATACAATGTGTACAATGTATACAATGTATACAATGTATACAATGTATACAATGTATAGAATGTATACAATGTATACAATGTATAGAATGTATACAATGTATACAATATATACAATGTATACAATGTGTACAATGTATACAATGTGTACAATGTATACAATGTATACAATGTATACAATGTATACCTAGCTTTGCCAATCTACATATTGACCATGCTGGCGACTCTGAATGCAATGAGGTGGATTTGGTTTACAGAATGTGTAAAATCACTTTCACAGGCGTTGCATGAACGCAAGGAACCTAATTAAACTATTACTTGCCATTGTATAACCGATATTGTTTACATTGTCTATATGAATATCAAGACAAGGACACCAGGGCGCAAATAATTAGATTACAACTTGGTAGTCATCTCGGAAGACCAGTAGACCGCGAGTGATTTTGAACAAGACCAGCGGTCCTACGGCCCGTTCTGACAGACAGGGACAACTATAGACGGTATTCTTATTGAAACTTCTTCAGGACGTATGCGATATGCTTCACAGTTACATTTACTGTGATAGTTTTTTTTATGTTTTGCGATGTCTACAATACGTAAACCTATGAGTGACATCATTTCCGTTGATCTGTAGGTCTGTCTGCACATATCATTTGGCTCTCGTAATATTGGAAGCAGCTGCACCGATTTTGATAAAATTTTGGGGAGCAGCATGCTGTATCTTCTTAGTAGGCTGTGTTTTATTTTTGAAAATCGTTCAACTAGCAGCCAAAAACAAAACAGCTTTAGATCGTTCCTCAACTTTGCATTTGTACGATTTACACTCTTCTGAAAATTTTTGGGCATGCAACATTTTTTGGACAGCTTAGAATTTTGATTTTTTTTTTGAAAATCTTCTTCTTTATTTCTGATCATTTTAGGTTACAGCTTAGTCAAAAAATTACCCATTTGTGAATTACATATGATACTTTTTATAACCAGCAGCATTTATGTGTCAAGGCTTTTCAGCTTGTAAGTTTAAAAAAATTGAAAATATTTCTATGTGAATGTGTTGGGAGTACGGAATCCACCTACTTGATACTATTCTTTTTTCAAAACATATTTTAGGTCATCCGCAGATGAGGGTGATTCAAGTGCTTCTAGATTTTCTGCATGTAAAGACAGTACCAAGCCTGAAGTCACAGTTAACCATCTTGTATTAATTTCTAAAACATTTTAGCTGATGCAGTTGCAATCTGAAGGGTCAAAAATAGAGTGGAAATATTTATTTTATATACAAGTTTGTATAACCCAACGAAATTTTGACAGCCTTATAATCATTGTTGTCCATGGAGAAGTATTAATCATCTCCATCAGATCCCCAGGGGCGGAGTAGCCCTAACATAATATCGTTATTTTTTTGACACTCTTATATTGGCTCAAAAATAATATTTTCATAAAGCTCCATGCTCTGGCTTAAAAATGTATTCTTATTTGAGTTCGATAAGGTTAATTATTTTTCTTGAGAATAGCTTCCTTTTTCGAAATTTTTTCGATAAATGGTTAGGCTTCCCGAAATTATTATTATACCGTTATTATACAGGAAGTCAAAAAATTGTCATATTGCATTAGGACTAGTCCGTCCCTGATAATTAAAATCGGTTATTTATTGCGCGTGGACACCATTACGAGATGCGCCCTGTATGACATATCCAAATTGTATTCCGAATGGGTTTTACACTTACCGCTGCTCTAAACATACTGCCTTAAATACTTTCAATAATATGCCAAAATACGTTTTCGGTGATCTGAACTTCGACAAGCTGAAAACAAAAAGCTTTTTGGCAAATAAGTGCTTTGAGTGTCTATTGTTAGTTGTATAGTACTGTGTTTCAGATGCATCACACTACAACAATTGTTCCATTCCCAGGTTATGACCTTTCCCAGAGGAATTCACTACCAGTCTCTTTTTTCAAGCTGAACCGCAGGGATTAGTTTGGCAAAAAACACTGTCATCCGCATAAGAAAGATAATGCGTAGTATTATAAGACAAAATTTTCTTTATCTGTCTCAGTAGCATGCAAAGGATAATTAACGAATAGGATATCAGCTTGGTACTTGTAAATGTTTTGCACTTTATTCTTAATAACGTCATACTGTAAGTACTTAGCATTCACGATAAAATGGAAATTATAAAGATACGGCTTGATACAAGCATGAAGTTTATCCAATGTTTTCAAGCAATTATGATGCTTTTGAAAAGCACTCACGATAGTGGGCAAATACATATATAAGTAGAAAGGGTGACAGTGGAATGACATTTCCAATATGTTTCGACTTGTAGTTCTAGCACTTTTTGGCGCTGTAGGCGCTGTGGATTTTGTCATACAAAATAAAGCTGGAGGAATGGTTTGGGTGGGCATTCAAGGAAATCCTGGATATCCACATTTGGAGAATGGCGGGTTTCAGTTGAATCGAGGACAGTCAGTAAGAACGAAACTATAATACGTAATTATTGCTTATATTCACATCATACGCACTATGCCAAGAGCCGCGTTGTACTGATGAGACTTATGAAACACAAAACGACCTTCTAAGTAATTGGCTGCAGATATGTATAATGAGCATGAGTTCGTTGCACTTCTGTCATTTAGCCTTTCATAACAAAATCACACCTTCGTTCGATGATATAATAGGTGTACTTTACTGTGTCTTTAATTTGGATTTACGTAAAAAACGACTTCTAACATTCTAACGATACGCGCAGCCACTCAGGGAATATTGATATTTTGCCTCAAAAAATTTATTCTGGGAGTTCTTTTATGAATTAAATAGTCTAATGATATTAGCAAAAAATTCCCCAAAATAATTGTAAAGTCTGGTTTTATTGGTGCAAGTTGATCAAGTGTGTATTTGAATCATGGACGCATAAAATGGGTACACCAATTTTTGTGGGAAAACTTTTTATTGGACAATAAAGAATGAGAAAACGTATGCTTTGGAATTTAATCGAAAGTGTTGACAGGAACAACAAAACTTTTCAAATAAAATCTTTAGGTATTTATCAGACCTACAAAATGAGATCACACGTAAAAAGATCCGACTAATACCAAAAATATTATGATCGAAAAACGAGGCAAAATGCAGGTTTTGTCACTTGTTGGTAATGAGACGATAATTTCACGCAACTACTTAAAATTCTTCAAACCCGTAGAATTCATACGTCTAAATAACAACAATATTGAAGTATATTCGTCAAGTAGTTTTTGAGAATTTCTAATTATATATATCAAAACATTTGTTTTCCGGCCATCTCTACCAGTTTATTGAGCAATATACGGGGTTAGTTCAAAGGGTATTTTATACGAAAATACACTAGTTTACCTTGCCGATATGAATCGCAATCCATTCACCCGCAATTCTGTCATCATTTAATGTTCGGTTAATGTTTAAACCTAACGCCATATGAACTAGGTACACAAATTAGCCTCACTTAGAAAATAAGTTAACTACGGACATGAAAAACCAACAAGGTTAGGTCTATTCAAAAGACTTAAATGCAATTGAGGCTTGACTAGGTGTGTCTGCTCGCTTATGTAAAGATTATTACCAGAGGAACTTTTGTGCATACACATTCACCATATTTGTAAACACGCAGATATTTTCTGTTTCAATGAAAAATGTAAAGATGTGTAACTATTATGTCTAATAGGTGTGTAGTAGAAGCTTCTTATAGCAGAACATAGTTCGATGATACAAAAAGGTACAATTTCCGACTCTCTACAAACTTCAACCAAAATTTTCTCAAAATGAGCAGGAGGCTCTGAAATGTCGGTAAACAAAGTTTCAGCAATCTTTGTATTTGTGTTTTTTATTATTCTTTTCCAACACTCCTCTTAAAATAAATCAAATTAACAAAAACGACAGCACAGTGACAAACGATGACAAGAAACACAAAAATAAAATTCCAGTGCCGCATGCTCGCTTGATCAAAATTCGAGTAGTAAATACTTTCCGAGTTATAGAGCTCAAAGGCTAACAGAGCGGTAGACTGGCAGACTCAAATATAGGCAGAACGACGAAAATGATTGACATGCTTTTTCGTCATATGCATGTGATATAACATCCAAAAAACATGATATCTCACTTTTTTTCTTCAATTGGCATGGGAAGTACAATTTTGTCTAGGTAGAGAATACCTCATTCTTCTTTTGACCTTGCTAATCTGTGATCAGTTTGATATAGTAGATTCCTACGAAGATTAGAACTCTGAGATGAAAATAGTATTTACCTTACTTAGCACTTCAGATATATTCTGTCACGTATTCTTTTTTTTGGAAGGGGGGAGGGAGGTTAGTAGCGTGGGTTGCCTAGTTTTAGGTATTGTCAAGCCGTTTGTGCTTAGATGAGATGACGAAACTTCATTCTCATTTTCTCTCTTCCCTATATTTCCCATTTTTCGCTTCCCTCCATCCTCTACCTTTCCTTCTATCATCCCCCTTTTTCCTTTCCACTTCCTCTCCTACTTTCCCCTTTCCTCTTTTTTTTCTTCCAAGTCTGAGGACTTGTGGGATAGCACCGTTGCTCCCCCTGGATCCGCGCCTTCATATCCAAAACTTATATTATGGAAGAGTATTTCTTTCAGAGAACAGTTCGAGCGCCAGAAAAGTGGGAAGGACGAATCTGGCCAAGGACTTGGTGTGATCCCAAGACGAAGCATTGCTTGACGGGAGATTGCGGCAATAAACTCCAGTGCGCAGGTGCTGGTGGAGTTCCGCCAGCTAGTCTTGCAGAAATAAAACTTAAAGGGAATTCTGGACTTGATAATTACGATGTATCGTTGGTTGATGGATTCAATATCCCTATTGCGGTAAGTACCATAGAAATAATTTTTTTCTATTGCAGCCTGAACATTCGGCTGTATAAAGAAGTCGAGAAGATATAAAATATTGTGTCCGCGTCTTAAGATATTAAGGTCACAAAACTCATTTTTTTTGCTTCCTATGGGTTTAATGCTATTTCCATTTATTATGGATATTGTAGAGAATAAAATTCTTTACAACTTGAATCAAACATTTTTTCGTACAATTAACAGTTTTTGAGATAGTGGCGGAGAGCTCGCAGTGCTTAGCTATTTATAGCATAATGCAAGGACAACCGTTAGTTCCGATATATAATACGCCGTATTAAGTCTATAAATAATTAAGAAATACAAAGTTGTCCATAATTAGCAGTTTTGCTTAATTATTACAGTATGTTTAATATTTTTCATTGTTTAATTATATTCTAATATACATATAAACACATAGAAAAGAAATTTGATAAACATACCTTTATTATAACATTATTTAAAAAAAATGTTTCATACATCTTACGATTGGCATTTTTTTACAAAGACTTTAATAATATGAATATCAGTATGACAAAATAAAGGTATATTACTACGAATGTACAGCTTATAATCTCTCATTTCGAAGTCAAACCCCTAATATGGCTGGCTTATGACATGGTCAATAGAGGAGAAAAAACCTCGCTTGATTGCTACACATTTTTGATACTATAGTAACAATGGAGCGGTGGTACTGGCTAGTTCTTGACGTACGGAGCACAACCAAGATAGAACGAAAAGCAAGTTAGGCAGACCTAGAATAGAATGCGCATCAATGTGAAATACGCTTGCTGTCAAGAATTTGTCATTGATCAGCCAGGTTGCCTCTTTCAAACCGCACGTCGTAGTAATGTAGACGGGGTAGCAACTTCCCAGATTTGTGAGCAGTAAGGAACACCCGGGTAAAGCGAATACCCGGATATAGTGGCATACTATCGTAAGTCAGACATCGCGACGAAGTGCACATACGTGTACATATCCGCCCAGATCGGCAACTATATATATATACATATATATATATATATATATATATATATATATATATATATATATATATCTTGAGACGTGGTCATTGTCGTCTAGATCAGTTAGGTGAAAAATTAAAGCTTCCGCCTTTTGTTGGGTACTTCGACAAAAGTGCTTGCTTAAATTTTTGTCGAAGTACACAACAAAAGGCGGAAGCTTTAATTTTTCATATATATATATATACGAGTATATATATATGAAAGACTTTGGTTATACGACAAATTAAACAAAGTGTATCCTTCGGACTTACAAATACTCAAGCTTTCGACAAGTTATGCTGTCATCTTCAGAAGCTAAAAATAAAATTGAAAGTAGTAAATAGCAAACCATGCTCAATTCATTACAATTTAATTACTCACTTCGTCAATGCGATTGGTGCTAGTGTTAGATGTTTTCAACTGTATTTGGGAACACATGGCTAGATGATAAAAAACTGGATTCACGCGGATCCTTTTTCAAAAACGGTGGAGAACATAATCATGTTCTAATGGTAAAATATGGATGGTTTGAGACAAACATTGTTGATTGAATGAAATTCCTTAAAAACTTCACAAATTTATATCTTGGGCCAACATAGAATTGTGATCGAGAGGTTAGGATTTATGAGTGATGTTGGCACTATTTGCTGGTAGTTGTGGTGGGGATCAATTCTCTTTGTTTAGTCTGTTACCAACCTAAAGCAAAAAGTGTGCAATACCTTCTTAAGAGGAGCGTTAGCTTAAGTGCAAAACATGATAGAGAAATTTCAGATTGATTTTGAAAGAATTTTTTACCAACCATATTTTGATGTAGATTGGAGTTACTACTTGGCAAAATTGGTTGATGTTAAAGACCATGGTGAGAAGGGGGGAAAAATATTTTTTTCGAAAACTTGTTGAATTTATCTACGTAGTCATGCCATAAGTTCTGTCCCTCGTTTTCAAACAAGTGTAGACCTGTTAATACTTGTCGATTGTTTACATTGTGGTGTCAGTTGATTAAGCGCTTTTCGGGTAATTACATATACCTCAGTTTGTATTGATCTCTCGAAGCATAACGATGGAGTGGGGCAAGGCAGAGAACCGTATTGCAGTGATAGCTTTACATAAGTGTAATCACAGTGCTAGTCAGATTTTTGAACTCTTACGCGGCCTTCAAATATCGCGTAAATTTGTGTCTAGGACCATTCAGCGGTACAATGAGACGTCCTCTGTTGATGACAGGCCAAGAAGCGGAAGACCTCGTCAAGTAAGGACTCCAGCAGCCATCAAAGCCGTAAAAGCCAGGATTCAAAGGAATCCACTCCGGAAGCAGAAGATCCTATCCAGGGAAATGAAGATTCCTGTCCGGACGATGTCGCGCATCATTAAACAAGACCTAGGGCTAGGGGCTTACCGGAGACGTACGGGCCAGCGACTTACGGCCACCTTGCGACACATCAGGGCGACAAGATCCAAGAAGCTCTTGGAGAGGTACGCAGCTGGGGGATTCCGAAAGATTTTGTTCACGGATGAGAAAATCTTCACCATAGAAGAAAAATTCAACCGACAAAATGACAAAGTGTATGCAAGGAGTTCACAGGAAGCTTCGGAGATCATTCAGAGAGTTGAGAGAGGCCACCACCCTGCGTCAGTCATGGTTTGGTGGGGGGTGTCCTACGAAGGGGTCACTCAGCTCCATTTCTGTAAACAGGGCGTGAAAACAAAAGCGGCAAACTATCAGAGCGACATACTGGATCCTATCGTCAAGCCTTTAAGTGGTACATTGTTTGCCAACCAACACTGGGTCTACCAGCAGGATTCCGCCCCCGCTCACAAGGCTAAGAGTACGCAGCGCTGGCTGGAAAGCAATGTGCCAAAGTTCATTGCTGCGGAAGATTGGCCCTCAGGGAGTCCGGACCTCAATCCTTTAGACTACAAGTTGTGGGACCTGCTAGAGCAGTTGGCCTGCTCCAAAGCCCACCGTAATATCGAGTCCCTGAAAGCGGATTTGATCCGATCAGCGGCAGCTATTCCTTTGGAAGCTGTGCGTGCAGTGATAGATGAGTGGCCCGCGAGATTGAAGCAGTGTGTGAAGGCCAAGGGGGGACATTTTGAATAAAACTGTTTGATTATGAATTCTAAAAATGTTGTCGAATAAATAATATCTTTCATATAAATATATCTTATCTTGTTTCATTTTTATCATGAGATTATCATGGGACAGAACTTATGGCACGACTACGTATTGAACTGTTATACTTGTTATTGTGATAAGTCAATATCAATATAATTTAAAAAATAATCAGGGAAGTAATCTGCGAAAACTAAAAGTTCACCAATTTTGGCCTAACAAACAACGCTAAAAATTGGTTTAAAGTAAACTAATCTTGAAATACTCTTCGGGATCTTATAGGGGAAGGTCTTAGCTTTGATTTAGATATCTGGCGACCCCAAAAATATTTTATTTTAGGCGTGTACGTTAGGCCAAAATTGACGAATTGTTAGATTTCGCAGGCTGTATATTGTTAATATCTCAATGAGTTATTTTGTTATATTTGAATTATATTAATAATCTTTGACGTTGGACCACAAAGCATTTGTGTATAGCTACCCAGTTTTCAGTTCTGAGATCTTTGTAAGAAGGGCAAATCGCTTAAAATTGCTTATTGAATGGCCAGTTGCAGCTAAGCTAAATGCGCTCAAGGTCAAGGTCAAGGTCGAGATAATTGTATCTAAATTCAAAAACGTTCGATCTTCCGATACATACATTTTGCTAAGGTAAAATATTCTCAATGATAATTCCGTTCAAGAGCATCGTAAAATTTTGCACCAAGGACACACTATGATTTAAGAATTTCTCCTACTGCGTTGTACGAAAATAAACACATAGTAGCTTTGTATAATTTTATGCTGTTTATGTTCCAGTTTTGGCCAGTAAATGGAAAAGCCGATGGCAGTCGCCTTAGTTGCAAGCGTGCAAGCTGTGACAAGAATCTCAATTCAAGTTGTCCCGGTCCTCTACGACTCAATAGCGCTCACGGTGTCATTGGCTGCAAGTCGGCCTGTTTAGCGTTCAACAATGACGAATACTGTTGCAGAGGGGCCTTCAACAGCTCTAAAAAGTGCAAGGCTAGCGGATATGCCAACTTCTTCAAGTCGAACTGTCCTATGGCGTACAGTTATGCTTACAATGATGATAAGAGTTTGATGACTTGTAAGGCGCAGAAATATATGATAACCTTTATGTGATATGTAGTACATCGAGATAAAGGGAAATTTGCCAATTCTTTCTGGTTTTACTGGTGTTCTAACCATCTCTACAGGGTGTCCCATATTACGTGGACATGGAAGTACTATGTATTTTTAGACTCAAAATAAGTCGATGAGACATGATTTACTTCCATGCAAAAATGATTCGTTTGTTCGATAGCAGGCGTCAAGGTTTTCTTTTAAAAAAATATTTTTTCAGAGAAAAATAAAACACCGCAAAGCGCCATCTATTACCAGACTCAAGAAGTGAGAGAGTGTATAGTAGCTATGCATGTTTGGCTGTCTGGTTGGACGATCGAAAACAGCATGTTAAAAAGTGAAATGAGAAATGCATAAAATTGAAAGTCTTTTGAATAGTCCCGAGTATAGGAAAAAATATTTGGAGAAAATGATGCAACAGTTCAAATTTTCTCGCGAAAACGCACCCACATGATGACGTCAATCCTGTTAATCGTCATCACCGAAGGCATCATTGACATCGAACAGCTGTTATAGGGCGCTTGTGATAAATGCCAGATTGCAGCACCTAAACTTTATCGCACTTTTATAGTCTACGGTTTCATCCGTATTAGGACTGAATAATCTGAATTTCTGTTGGAACTTTGCTACGAAGTTGCTAGAAACAGTCTGATCACGGTCCTGTGATTTAGTCACAAAAACATAGTGGAACATTTAGATTTTTCTTAATGCTACTGCCACCTAGACTATTACGGCTTAAGCAAAGAAGCCAACTGATAGTCTGGAATCCACCACAGCTTCCACAATAGTTGTCCATGACCTGAGATTTTAGCTAACAACTATAAGACAGTTTTCTCATCGAAAGCAACATGATGCCATTTTGATCTCAACCGAATTTCAACTTTAGTTGCGTTACTCTTGGTTACTCACCGACATAACTGACAGCCTCGTTCTTCAGTTGTGGAAAAAATTACTAAGTATACACTTACTAGTAAGAGCGCGCAATATAAAAGAAGTATTTTTACTCATAAAAATCTTGTTTGAAAGAAAACTATTTAGGTGAAGTATTTCACTAATAAAATCTAGTACAATCGATCAACATATTTCTTTTTTTGAATAAAAAAACTTCCAATATACAATAATTTGTTAGGATATCCATAACATCCTATATTCAAATACATTTATTGATTATGATAATCGCTAGTATTCTATCAACTTGCTTTTCACACTTTTTATTAATTTCAATTGTTATCAATGATTTTTGAGTAAATGAACTGAACGTTAATTGTCGTGCCACAATAATATCCACCGATGACATCTTTCATGAGCTGATAGGCAACTTCAACTTGACTAGCTGTCAGTATCGGCAACCATAGGGCAACTTGTCACTTTGGTGAAAACGTTTGAATGTGCCGAGGCGGGTTGCTGTCACCAGTTAGTTACTTTCGGTGAGAACGATTACTAACGATAAGATGAGATCGTCTTACCCGACGGTTACATCGAAAATGTTGCTTCCGACCGACGAGGAGACGGCCATGTCCCCGAAGCCCTTTCTGGCGACGATGACGGAGGTGATCAGATCCGGGATGGAGGTGCCCGCCGCCAAGAAGGTCAAGCCCATCACCTCGGGCGGGATCTTCACGGTACCACCTACAGTGTCCGCCCACCATACCATCAGGTACGAATAGGCCGCTATCCACATTATGCTGCCGATGAACGTTATCGGGAAGAATTTTTTGCCTGCAATGAAAAAAATTGAATCAAATAACAGCAGCAGTGTTGCAAAATCGTCTTGACTATTGTCAGCACTACGAAAAACAAAAGTGATACTGACACCTACCAGCAGATTCGTCGATAGCGGCACTACTATTTAGTATACATTTAGCTGGTGTTCGAATACCTTTGTGTGTGTTAGATATTTGGTATTCGACTGATTACTTTTTTGGTCAGCACTCAGTATTCTGCATTCTGAATACCGTTTCTGAATCCCAATATCCGAATACCCATTTTGCATTCAAATATCGGCATTCGAATCCTGTATTGCCTGTTCGTATGCATATTTCTTTATGCTTTACGCAACTTGAGCGTGTTAAAGCACGTTCGGTGTGGTTGTGGATGGCACAAACACAATTGCTACGCAAACTTATTTTGTTTGCGTGGACGGTGGTGCTTCTGTATTCGGATGCCGACAGGTCGCCTAAGAAAAATAGATTACGAATGCACTGGTGCTTAGGCAGTATTGTCATTTTATTTCATAATAAATTTTAATGACTGTTATAATTTGTGTGTGATACCAGATAAGGTAGATATATAAGAAGGTAAGTTTGTTTTTTATTTTATGTAGGTACATTGTACAAGATTCATATATTCTGTTATTTTTATTATATTAGTTTTCTACAAAAATCTAATAAAAATCAAATAATATCTTTTATTATACAATTAATTTGTCCAAACTCACTGTGAATGTGTATCAAAATTTTATTTTGTTTTATTCATATACTAGTTGGGGTTTTCCTTTTCAGAAACAACTACCCTTGAAATAACAAAGGTAATGTGTAGTGAAACGGGGGCGACCAACTAAAAAAAAATAAAGGAAAAAGTACTCACTCTCCAGTTGACGAGAAGGGCTAAGTACGTCTCTGCCCGAAATCATACACCCTACCGCAGACCGCAGACGCAGAAACCACATTGATTATCTTACACTTAATGGCACATCTTCTAACAAGGAAGGCAAAATGTTGCGTGAAAAGTCTAGGTATTGCATCCCGTTCAATCGATTTGGGAGAATAAATGGTCCAATGAGCATACCGTTCACCATGCCAGCCCAAACATTCACCGAAAATGTTTGTTGAAAATGTGCCCGACGGACAGCGTGCGGATTTTCTACTGACCAAACATGAGTGTTGCGAAAGTTATTAACCCCATTACGCGTGAACGTAGATTCGTCTGTCATCAATATGCACTTCAAAAAGTCCGGATTATTGTCATGTTGATGCAACAACCACTCACAAAACCGCACTCTTGATGGAAAATCGTCAGGTTGAAGGGCTTGTACACGTTGGACGTGAAACGGATACAGCCCCTCTTCATGCAGCATTTGCCACACTTTAGTTTTTGATACTTGCACTTCTCTAGCCACGTCTCTAGTGCTTGTTGAGGGATTCTCGTCTACGCGATTACCTCTACACGCGTGACCGTAACCGTCGGTTGAAGGTTGCATACTGACCTGACACACTGACCCCGACCCAGTTCTGTCGTCGGGTTGAGCCAGTGACCTTGTACCAGTCGGTGATGTCGCGGCTACAGGACGGTATTAAGATATTTTTGATGTTGCAGAGCCCTTTATCTCGGTTCCCTTAAGACATTGGTGTATATGGTACTAAGAAAAATTGCTTATGTTTTCAAGATCTACACGTCGTGTAAAGGAAAACCCCAACTTTGCGGACACCCTGTATACAATATTCTAGATTTCTAGAGCTCAAAATAGGAAGAACAGTTTATATAAACATAGGTCGATAAATGTCCTCTAAGGGCGCTACTGTATTTTAAAGGGGCTCCCCTGAAGATGGTTTTTCCTTAATATTTCCGAAACGTGTTGAGATAAAGACATACAATTTGGTATTCCAGCCTAGTTTTTTATGTTAGATTTAAATATATTAACAATTTTAGATAGTTTTGTTTGGAAGCGTATGTAACAGGGACGGACTCAGGTTCTTTTAGCCCTAAAATTTTTGTGTGATTCTATTTTTGAAATTCAATTTTAGAATTTGAACAATTAGGGTTTAATACATAAAAAGGTACTCTTATTGAATATCGATAAATTCTGCCATTTTTGAATAAAATCAAACTAAAAAAATTGTGACATGATAGGAAATGTACTGCGAATTTAAATGAATTGTTGCTTATACATAGTTACCAATGACTGCAAACAAAAGTTGGTTTGATTTGTTAGGACTTATTTTGACCTTAACCTGACATTTTTAGCATTGTAAAATTACTAGATTAAAATCAAAATGTTTATTAAATCGATTTAAAATGCCAAGATTTACAGACAGAGAACTGACTGACATGCATTTTGTGTACGGGTTTTGCAATGGCAGTTCACTGGTAGTCGTAAGAGAATATCAAAGAAGATTTCCCAATCGCATAGTACCTGGACGTCGAATGTTTACTGATATTCACCGGAATTTGTCAAACCATGGAAGTTTTCAGCGCTTGCAGGGCTCAGGAAGGCCACTGGGAAATCATCGTATGGATATTGCTTTAAATATGTTTGAAAATAATCCGCAAATAAGCATACGAAATGTTTCAGAAATTATGGATATACATCGATCAATAGTAAGAAAAATTTATGAATACCTATTTGATAGTTATCCTAAAAATAATAATTATAGATAGGAAGAATGACAAAAATGCAAGGATTACATCCTTATCATTTTACACGGGTGCAGCATGTAACGGAGGCAGATTTTTTACCACGAATCGAGTTTTGCCAGTGGATATTAGCAAATGAAAACACCATTCCTAGAATATTATGGTTCGGATGAGCCAATATTTACTAGGAATGGTGCTTTTAATTTCCATAACATGCATCACTAGTCAGATGAAAATCCAAAAGTTGTTCCCCGTACAAATTTCCAACATATATTTTCATTGAACGTATGGGCAGGAGTAATTGGGGATCAAGTAATTGGGCCTACTGTACTTCCCAATCGTCTTAATTCAGAGGTGTATCTGAACTTTCTTCAGAATGAGCTCATGGATATAATACCATTGGATGTGCGCCAGCAGTTTCAAGAAAATCTGTTTTTTCACCATGATGGCGCCCCTGCACATTTTGGACGCAATATTCGAAATTGGTTGAATGTCAATTTTCTAGACAGGTGGTTAGGTCGAGGAGGTCCTATAGCGTGGCCGCCACGTTCACCTGACCTAAATCCATTGGATTTCTATTTTTGGGGGTCATTAAAAGACTTAGTTTACTCGACTGAAGTAAATTCTCAAGAAGATTTACTTCATTGAATCCATCAGGCTGCAAATGAAATAAGAAGAAAAAGCTTTTCCTCTTTTCGGGCTACGAATCA